CATACCTAGCACCTTCCTACCTGTCTCCCTAATCACTGTAGCTGTAGTCTCCCAATCATCTAGGAACACGGCCCAGAACTGCCCTTACTTCCTTCCTGAAGTCTTCTCAACATTTCTCTTTCCTTAATTTCCACCACTTGATCTTCTGCTCTGTCTTCACTCTCTTCCATTTTGTCACCTCCATCGTCATATTGCACACTACCATCCGATGTTGTTTGGCTACACTCTCGCCTGCCACCACCTTACAGTTTCTAATCTCCCTCCTCTCTCTTTGTGAGATCTACCACTGCCTGTTCTTCCAAGTTTCTCTCCCTAACGCCAAACCTGTCCATCATTTCCTCATCACCTCTGTTCCCTTCCCCTACATGACCATTTAGGTCTGCTCCAATCACCACTCTCTCTCCCCTGGGGATACTCTCTATCATTCAATCCAGCTCATTCCAGAACTTCTCCTTTTCTTCCAAGTCACAGCCCACCTGTGGGGCATAACTGCTAACAACATTTATCATCACTCCTTCTACTCATTTCACCTCCACCACATTTCTTGCATATTCTTCCTTTAGGATCACCCCAACTCCATTTCTCTTCCCATCCGAACCATGGTAAAATAGTTTGTAGCCTCCTCCAATGGTTCTAGCCTTGCTGCCCTTCCACCTGGGCTCCTGCACACACAAAATGTCTACTCGTCTTCTCTCCATCGTAACAGCTAGTTCTCCCTTCTTTTCCCTGTAATTATACCTACATTCAGAGTTCCAAACTTCAGACCAACACTTCTATCTTCCTCTTTTCTCTTTTTCTCCTAACCAAACACTGTCCTCTTCTTCTGTCTTTGATCAACAGTCGCCCAATTTCCATCAGTACCCTGTAGGTCAACAGCACTGTTGGTGGTCGTTGTTGACCCGGGCCCCGACCGATCCGGTATGGAAATCCTTTTAATTTGCATTATTGATTTGGCAAAGGTTTTACACCAGATGCCCTTCCTGACGCAACCCTCACCATTTTTTTCAGGATTGGGACTGGCACTATAAAACACTGGCTTGTGCACCCTAGTGGCCTGAAAAATAACATTGTCAGTCTTGTGTTTATTAACACCAATAACACTTCAATGAATAATACATTGTCTATCACAGTTTAAACAAATACTTTGTTTTATTTATAAATATGAGATTAGGATTTGCTACAAGGTCAAAAAACAACAACCAGTAAGCCACCACTGCCCCAGTGGTGGCTTACATTGTCTCTGTAAAATGTCACAGTTGGGTTAAAACATTTTTATTTAAGATGGAAGAAACAACAAATGTGAATATAGAACAAAATCATCTTTGGAAAAAATCAATGTTTAATGTTTATATTAATATAAAGATGCACTTTGTTACAGGTATTTAAGGCAGTTGGGCAATGTTTGTTAGAAAACAGCAAGACAATGTATCACAAGATGGAAAAAGCAACCATCGACATGTGACAGGACAGATTATTTTCTACACAGAGCAGACTGGTTTGTTGCAGCATTGGAGACTGATATAAGGTGTAACAACTCAAGTGGCGCTTAACGAATAACGGGCAAATTGTCCTGCCCTAATTAAAGGGAAACTCTTCCTCAGTTTGTCTCTCAGTCAAGGGAAATAAATAAATTGTTTTACCAAAGATCAGATTGTGCACATCAATAATTTAGATGTAGTTAAAAATTTTAACAAGACACATTTAATCCAACCTTTAATCCTGCCTGGCCCTTAACCTCCCAATTTAAATGGTGATGATTATAACCTACTGGTTATAACTGGTATGTGCATTCCAAAGCTTCGGTACTTTGAGCTGCTACGTGCTGTATGTTCTATTCCTTGGCCCAAAGAGTCTTATGGATTCTTCAAGACAAAGTACAAACCACAATACACATTCTATCATTGTGTTTCACTCAGAGTGAATGAGTACTGAGGCCTGAGTGGTTTGCACAAATGAACAGAACTCATAGAATTACACTAAAAAAAAAAAAAAATCAGAACAAATAGTTTTTTTTTGGGAATGTTATAAAAAAAATCTCTGGGTTTCATCATCCTCCTCCCAAACACCTAAAGCAAGATAACGGTAACATTTCAACTGTTTAGTCTGAGTCCTCATCGTCCAAGTACTCATCTGCGTTGCTGATTGTGCGAGTGACATCTGTAAACATAAGAGATGCATGTATAAATTAAATGTAAAATCTAGTGCTGTCAAAATGAGCACGTTCATTCGTTTGGAAAGATTCATCTGATCAAGAATTTTTAAACGCAGAATGACGTGCACTGTTTATCCAATGATTCTACCATTCATTCACTTATCGTTATTTTAATAAACAGTAGATACACGTTACTTGCACATGCCACAGGAACTTGAAGGTGTGAATAAACATGACTCTACCTGCTGTTATTTGTCTTTATGTTCCAGCAATGTACCATGATTACCTTGATTAATCATGAAAAATTAGGATCATGATTAATCTGATTAAAATCTTTAATTAACTGACAATTTCGAGTAAAGTCATATTTCCATTCACCCATTGAAACGTGTGAAAAACTATAACCAGGTGTATGTAAATACTACTAGACATAAGTAAAATCATTAGCACAGGTTTGACTTAAGAGAGGCGATGGCTTGTGGGATGAAACCGCTCCTGAGTCATAATGTGTTTGTGTGCTTTAAGGCTGCCCTCTAGCGGCGGTAGCACTTACTGCCTCCCTGCTTCCTCTTTAGAAGTGAAGCACTCTGGGCGTTGGTGGCCATCTCCAGAGCCAGCTTGTTCTCATTGTTCCTGATGTCTGTCATTGCATCTGAAACGAAGAAATTAATCTAAATAATTTTAAATAAATAATTTTATTTAAATGTTATCGCTTGATCTTGAGTAATATATGACATGGAAAGCAAAGTTTTTTTTCACTTTAAGGTAACATGTGAACTTAAACAACAAAACTAATAATTTTTCATCTTGACACTGGACACCATCATCAAGTCAACCATCTGTAAATATGTCGTAAAGACACTCACCTATACTGAGCAGCATCTCCACAATGTCAGAGTAACCCTTCCAGGCAGCAGCGTGCAGAGCCGTGTCCCCGAGTTTATTCTGAAACAGGAAACATCACTGTGACCCACTCATTCACACACAGACGTAGTTTAGATGTGTGATGACATCATTAATTGTTCTCCAAACCAAAGCCATTTTCACTCACTTTGTTGCTGCCACAAACCACAGAAAATCTTTAAACGAACAAGTTTTAGGAGGAATTAATTTTCTGGAACACTAAAGCTTCTGTTGTCAACTATTGGCTAGTTTAAATGTTGACAAACCTGGCTAACTTCTTTTCTCTTTTTTTCTTTGACTCCCTTATCCCTTATTACTGTCTGTGATCCTCCCACATTTTTGATTGTGGTTAAAGAACACATCCCACCTGCTGGTTGAGTTCCACATTGGGCTGGCCTAACAATAGTTCCACCACATCTGGTACAGTGAGAAAGAAGAAGTTGAATTTACAGTTATTGTTAATGCAGGAATAAAAAAAAGGTACAGATCACAATGCACCACTAAATTCTTGTTCTGTTTTGTTGTTTTAACTTTGTTGTTATCGCAGAAAAAAATTCTGCCGTTATGTCACGTCAGTCCACTAACACAAGAGATTACTTAAAGTTTCACTGCAGCTAATCTGAAAACAATGAGTTTTTTAACAACTATTTTATACCTCCTTCCATCGTTACCTTTATGTCCTCCGTGGCATCCCCAGTAGAGGGCAGTGTTCCCAGCTTTGTCCAGGCCATTAATTCCAACCTTGTTCTCCAGACACTCCCTCAACCAGCTCAGGTTTCCTGTTTAAATGAACAAAGTCAGACACAGGTTTGTGGGTACGAACCCTGAAGAGATGGTTAAGTTTGTAGAAAACACAAAAAACAAGGTTGATAAATATGTAAATGTAAATGTGCGTCGTACCTCGTTTGGCTGCTTCGTGCATTGGGTTGTCGATTGACTCTGCGTTATCTGCGACTAAAAAGATTAAACAAGACATCACTGTATCATCTAAAATGATTTTATCAATTAGCTGAAGCTAAGGGCTTCATAAGAATGTACATTGATCCTGACAAAAAGCATGTGTAATGATTTTTTTTTTTTTGAACTCACCATAGTTGCTTGGAATCAGTCCTGTCCTCCCCCTGCAGGTTCCCTTCCACCAGTTTGAGTCACTCTGGGGATGGATGTAATTCTAGTTTGTTATTTTACCTACTTTTACTTTATAATAAATAAAAGACAAAAAAAATATATACTCTGAGTCAAGTAGACAGAAGTAAAAAAAAAAATTCCAAAAAGGTGATGATTAATATAAAAAATGCAAATAGGTGGAGGAAGAACTGACAACCTTTTGAGGAAGAATGGGACACAAGGACATAGATGTCAGTCATATGGGTTTTTCTCACCGTGTCAGAGATGTACAAGACGTCTCCCTCTTCAAAGTACAGCTCATCTGGCTGAAAATAACAGTTTATTCAGTAAGTAAGCTGCAGTACATTTATGATTTAGATATAAAGTATTAAACTAAAAAGACTCAACCAGAAGAACTTACTGTTCTGGGGTTAAATGTAAACAATGCTCTGAACACTTTAACTTGGCCTGAAAAAGAGACAAACAGAATTTTTAAAAGTTTTGTCATGAAAGATCTTAAACACAAATGATCTTCAACAGTGTTAGTTTGAACACAGGGATGTCGATACCAATGAACTAGCAATGTGGCGGAAATGTTAAACGCCTTAAAGCATAAGGATCACTGTCATTTATTCAATGTCCAGTCAGGTTTTCATTTGTATTGTCCTATTCCAGTGTGCAGTTTCCTCTGGGTACCATTGGTTTTTGGTTTTGGAACATGCAGGATTTAAATAATTGGACACTCTTGATTGTGTGAGAGTGAAAAGGTTGTTCATCTGGCCCTGTACCATACCTTAGCCCAGTTCAGGGAGGGGAGAGAAATCTTTGCAGCCCTTCACTTAATTGCCAAATCCTTATTACAACTCTACAAAGGTTGATTTTTTTAAAATGGGGGATGGGGGTGGGGGTGCTGTGGTATGGTTTGAAAAACAACAGGGTTCCAGGTCCCTGGTATAGACCGTACTGGGGTGAGGAGCTTAAGATCTAGCAAATCATGTAAATGTGTTTCACTACAACTTTTTTTTTTTACTGGAGTGTGCAGCAGCCCTGTGGCTCACATTGTTCTTGGAGTAGATTCTGCTGCGGGAATGTCACCAGAAGGGTTGTGGCCTAAGCTAAAGCTGAACTAGGTCACAGAGGAGACCGACAAAATTAAAGAAACAGAAACAAGCACAAGCCCTTTAATAAAACAAGCCTTCCATCTACTCTTTCTTGGGGCAAAACTTAAACCTGAAGGAATGTCCAGTGTGTTTACAACATACTGCACAACCACCATTATACACAAATACACCCAGCTGGGCTTAGCATGGGAAGTATAATCAAGCAAAAAAGGGCAGCTGTACCAGTGTGCACTAAAACTACAGCCTGGTTACTGGACTCCTGTGGGTGAGGTTGATGTCAACAGATGATAGAAGTCAAAGGTTACAAAACAAAATCAGACAACGCTGCAAAAACTTGTTGAAATAGGAAAAGGTCAGACAATTGCGACACCATCTGGCAGCAATCGCTCTGTGTTGCAGATGGTGCTGATGCAATCGTTTATAATCGAGTCGGTGCAGGTTCTAGACTGTTCTACATTACCCTGAGCATCTTTGTCTCAAGTGCGCTCAAACAAGCACAAACTGGATAACTCTCATGATCTCCCTGACACAGTGCATTAAATTAGATTTTGTGCATAATGTTTAGTTAAAACTTCTTTTACTAATAATTACATTCATAAAAAACATGGACACTTGATGTTCTCAACAAACTCAAGATGGAGAGAGGCAAATTTTACAAGAAAACATTAAGCAGGTTTCAAGATTTAATATAAAGTGTTTTTGCACAGAAGGATGGACAGTGGTCACTACTGTGTCGACCATTAAGAACTGTCTGTCAATTTTCAACTAATAACTACTCTTTTAAAACAGTTAATCATTGCTGAATAATCTAATAGACACATAGAGCCAGGAAGTACTATGAATCATTGTTGATTAACAAGGTTTGACTCTGCATTCATAAATGTATGCTAAGACTGCATGATAGAAAAATAGATATTTTATTAAACATAAGACACAGGTTAAGTAAAATGCTTGGTCAGTGTTGATGGATTTAAATTTATTTGCTGATAAATACATGAACAGCAAGGGCAAAAGGCAAAAAGAGAAACTCCGTGCAGGAAAGCTGCAAAACAGTATCCTGTTACTAGCAGAGAGGGGAACAAGCTAACAATTATAACAGTGTTTGGTTTTGTGGGGTTTTTTAATAACAATACTGTACTTAAAGGAGTCTCCTTAATTTAAAACTTTAAAACTTAAAAAGTCTCTGTCCCTGTCTATAAACTGATAAGACGAGACAGATTTCTAAGAACTTAGCTCTAAAGTCCTCCTGTATAGATACAATACCATGTATTTCCCAAAAGTTACTCATCCAAGAGCTGTGTGCTACACTCTAACAAAAGGGAAATAGTGCTAATTTTAACATTATGCTTTAGCAATCAGAAGAACAAAAAAGGCAATTGCTGACACAAATAGTTTCAAGTTCCAAAATGGCTTTGAGTGCATGTTTTGAGGGGACGTGTAACAAGCTCTGTTATGCTCTGTTCAGCACAGAAAGCACATCTCTCTGCAGGTCTGGTCATGTTCCACAAGCCCAGAGACTCTCTGCATTTCACAGCTCCTGTCTCAATCATTTGCGCCATTCAGTCTTATACTAACATCTACAATGATAACATAAAGCATTTATGAATTTAAGAATAATGTTGTCCTAGAAAAAAAAAAAAAAAACATGGCCATTCTCAGATATCCACAATGACCACCAAAGAGTCACTCCTTGTTAAGATATTATAAATACATTTATTCAATCTTTACAATATATTCATTATATTAAGTTTCCTTATCAATTTATACTGTTTAAATGCTGTACTAATAGGAGATGTACTGAAGAAAGGTGTGTATGTGGATGGTTTACATAACAGGATGGTGTATGGTACTGATGGCACTGACCGTTATGCTTGGAGATAGAGACAGGTCACAGGAGACTGCCCAAATAATGAGAGAAAACAGAACATCAAAAAGGAAAATAATCCAAAGTGCATGTCTTTGATCTAACCTGAGTTACTGAGCAGAATAGCTCAGCACATGTACATGTTTTCTATTGGTGGAAAATCTTTGTCTGGAGCAGCCTTTGCCAATCAGCGCTCAGAAGTTGCGCGTGAACAGCACATGGCTGTAAAGGGTTAAGGTGCTGACCATTGATGTGTATGTAAAAAAAACTGTATTTAAGCTTTGAACATTGAGGAGTTTCTCAGTGCAGTTCTGAATGTAACCATTGTTCTGCACTCCTTACTTGCAAGTAAAACTTTTAAAACTTGAGATCTCGTATTTGATTCTTTATCTGATCAGATCTTTATTTGATCTTTATTTGAATTCTTTGTGTGTTAGGAAACTGGGGTATAAACTAACAGCATGTTTTACAGTCCTATCTAACAGAGAAAGTTCCTTGACACTCCTCTACAGTTTATAACCCGTCATGTATTTTTTAACTTGTCAGAAAGGTATTTAAAAAATTAATTTAACAGTTATTTAAAAATATTAGTTTTCTGATAACTGCAAAATGTTGTTCAATATTTAGCATACAAGCAAATTACTTGAGTTATCTGATGTTGAGTAAAGTAAAAACAAAAACTTTGTTTCTGTGTGTTCCGTATGAACTAGTGGGCTCTTTCACAGATGAGTTCAAATGCATTTAGTAAGTTCCTTTAGGGAATTAGGAGAGTAATTATTTATATCTATTTATTGTATTGACAAACCACAAGAGGCAAAGAGTCAAAGGTGAGTCAAAGCATTTGAGTAACCATGAAATTTCTCTATACATGAATCACTTTGTTACTATAAAGTTATTGTGCTGCATATTAATATTAAATTAAAGAAGACCTCAAACATACACTATAAATGCAAAGCCTTCAGGAAACCATTTAACATGTGAGATTCTTGGAGTGATTGAGGGTTTGTTGTGGTCGAAACGTTGAAACTGTATTCTAGGCTAAGTTGCCTCTTTGATCTTGCTCAAAGCAATGGTTTTGGACAACTTTTAGTTTCCGTAATGAGAGAGATGGTGTTAATTTAAGCAGCTAATACCATTTATTTATTTACCTACACACCTGCGTTTTTATGTTCGTTAGTTAACATAATAGTTCGTTTCATTGAACGCATAAAAAAAAATGCGTAAAAAAACCCAATCATTTCTCTGTAACAGTTTTAGGACCATCTTCATGTTTGACTTTTGTGAATAGGAACCAAGTCAAACAGGAGCAGCAACAACTCATGACACTGGTGTGACATTAGGAACTATCAAACAGTAGGGTACCAACAGCCTTTAACGGTGCTTCACTTATGACTACATGTGGTTTTGTCCATTCATTATGTATATTATGTATTTACGGGTGTGGATCAAACAGTGTTTTATTTAGCTTAAATATGAAATCCTGTTTCACAACCTGATGTCTAGGGGCCTTGTTCGCAATGACTCGACACATACAGGAGATACAGAAGCAACAACAAAAACAATCATTTAAAAAGTGATTTAGACCCGCTTTAAACGGTAAAAAACCAAAATTGTTTAGCCTACATATCAGTAGATACCGAGCCTTGAGGAAGTGAAGAAAAATGACAGTGACCAAGGCAGATCATCAGGCCAGAATGACAGTCTGGGAGCATGACCGAGTGAAATAGGGGAAGCGGCTATTCACAGGCCTGTGGCTGCTCAGGGCCGGATCAGTCTGACACTCAGTGAGAACGCACCTCTACCCAAAAAAAGTCAGCCACAGTGGAACAAAACTCCTTCATTCTACTGGCTGATTCAGTTTCACAGAAATTTGCGACATTCATAGTATGGAGGGTACCCGCCTGCCCACGAAGCTGCAGTTCCATCGCCCTAACAAGGTGCGTTTGTCCTCGTAAACGTGAACAGAGTTTGCGCCGAATTTAACACTTTACTCTAAATGTAAGTCTTACCTGGTTTGGCCGGTTTTGGAGGAGGCTTCGACATTTGTGGGGCTCCAATGTTAAAGAACACGAAACGTACTGACTGTACAAGTAGATGAGTGCAAAATGTGTGAGAGAGGCACGACGCTGGACTGAGTTATTATCACTACCAATGAGGAAGTTCGCTCTGCAGCGGAAGTTACTCTGAGCATGCGCAAAGCAACAGGTAAAGTCACACGAATCATGTAGTGTATTAACTGTACGCTAAATTCAGCTCATAACATAAATAAAGTAAACTTATACTAGTAATAATCTTGTAATACTTCATTGTACGTCTTATACTAGTAATTATCTTGTAATACTTCATTGTACGTCTAATAAAGTAAAATGTATTTAAAGTGTCCAGGGAGTTCCCCCCAAAACTAATTTTTTTTTACATTTTTATTGGGTATAGTGGGATTTTAGGTTTCCTTCTTGCTATTTCAACGTCTTTCCGAATTAATGTGAGTGTATTATTATTTAAATTAATATAATTATTTATTTATAAATCAAATAAATGTCCTCTCAATAAAAAGAAAACATAATGGCAGGGGATAATAGAACCCAAAAACGGACCTAGATTAGACTATACCACCGCAGAAACTGGAGATTAGTGCCTAAAAATGTCTGAGGTCATTTGTAGAACACCGTCTAAAACATACACTATATTACCAAAAGTATTCGCTCACCTATTCAAATGATCAGAATCAGGTGTCCTAATCCCTTGGCCTGGCTACAGGTGTATAAAATCAAGCGCATAGTGCAAAGAGGTCGCCGACTTTCTGCACAGTCAATTGCTACAGAGCTACAAACTTCATGTGACCTTCAGATTAGCCGAAGTACAGTACGCAGAGAGCTTCATGGAATGGGTTTCCATGGCCGAGCAGCTGCAGCCATCACATCACCAAGTGCAATGCAAAGCGTCAGATGCAATGGTGTAAAGCACGCCGCCACTGGCCTCTAGAGCAGTGGAGACGCCTTCTCTGGAGTGATGAATCACGCTTTTCCATCTGGCAATCTGATGGACGAGTCTGGGTTTGGAGGTTGCCAGGAGAACGGTACATTTCAGACTGCATTGTGCCGACTGTGAAATTTGGTGGAGGAGGAATTATGGTGTGGGGTTGTTTTTCAGGAGCTGGGCTTGGCCCCTTAGTTCCAGTGAAAGGAACTTTGAATGCTTCAGGATACCAAAACATTTCGGACAATTCCATGCTCCCAACCTTGTGGGAACAGTTTGGAGCGGGCCCCTTCCTCTTCCAACATGACTGTGCACCAGTGCACAAAGCAAGGTCCATAAAGACATGGATGACAGAGTCTGGTGTGGATGAACTTGACTGGCCTGCACAGAGTCCTGACCTGAACCCGATAGAACACCTTTGGGATGAATTAGAGCGGAGACTGAGAGCCAGGCCTTCTCGACCAACATCAGTGTGTGACCTCACCAATGCGCTTTTGGAAGAATGGTCAAAAATTCCTATAAACACTCTCCTCAACCTTGTGGACAGTCTTCCCAGAAGAGTTGAAGCTGTAATAGCTGCAAAAGGTGGACCGACATCATATTGAACTCTGGGTTAGGAATGGGATGGCACTTCAGTTCATAGTATGAGTCAAGGCAGGTGAGCCAATACTTTTGGTAATATAGTGTATCTCCTCTTTGTCTCCTACCTGGTAGCTCCATCTCTAACATTCTTTTACCAATGAGGGTTTCATGAGCTGGAAGCCCAAATGATGTAAAAATAACCCCAGGGTTCACCTCCTGGGCAAGTTCGAATCCCAGTTAGGGTGGTTGGTACCTTCCAGTGGACTCACCACCCGCAGGAAGTTTTAGGAAGGAAGGAAGGAAGGAACTTTATTGTCATATCACCAGAGGTGATACGAAATTAGTTTGTTTAGGTGTGGTGCAATGTGATTTGGGTGGAGACTGCTGCCCCCGCAACCTGGTAACGGATAAGCGGATGAAAATGGATGGATGGATGGATGGAGAAAACATGTACATGTGCTGAGCTATTCTGCTCAGTAACTCAGGTTAGATCAAAGAAATACACTTTGGATTATTTTCCTTTTTCATGTTCTGTTTTCCTCATTATTTGGCCAGAGGAACTGGTTCAGGCCGGTTCTGTGACCTGTCTCTATCTCCAAGCATAACAGTCCGTGCCATCAGTACCATATACCATCCTGTTATATAAACCATCAGCATGCTCACCTTTCTTCAGTACTTCTCCTTTTAGTACAGCATTTAAAAACAAACAGTATAATTTGATATGGAAACTTAATACAATGAACATATTGTAAAGATAAATGTATAAGAGAATAAATGTATCTTAACATCTTAACATGCCAAATGCGGCCTGCCAAGCCATTTCGTGTGGCCCACGGGAGCTTAAAAAGCATTTAGTAAAGTCCATGCAGCAGAGTTTCTTGACCAGCGTTCCCTAACCTTTTTTGTTCCAAGGATTGGTCAGCCAGTACCACCCATTAGTACAGACCTGTACTATGGTGCTGAGCATTGAAGGATCATTAAATTTTCAAAATAAAACATCTTTTAGACTCTATTCTGTTTGATCAGTTAATCAGTCTGAATGACTTTCATTTTATGTGTTCCACTGTGGCCCGGTATCAAATGACCTACAGACTGGTACTGGTCCACGGACCAGGCGTTGGGTACCCCTAATCTATACAATCTTCCATTTACAATTGGCCCTTCAAATGGAACTGTATTGCTAATGTGGCCCCCGCTGAAAATGAGTTTGACACCCCTGGTCTAAAATCAGTGCGTTGAATTTTACCTCATGGTCTATTTTTAGAAGTTGCTAATTCTTAAATAAATGCATAGACAGTGGTTCATTTGTACCATGAGAGGCACACTATTTACAGTGAAAGTCTAGCTAAAAATTGTTTTCTTATGGTCAGAAACTAGAGTGACATTAGCGTTGCCTGAACCGAGACATGAGTGAGCCATGCAGTGGAAGTCCAGTCATTAGTGTTGGGAAGATTTTTACTGATTCGGATCTTTGACTCTCGAACAGTAAAATGAACGAATTGTGAACGAATCTTAAACGAATCATGTAATTCATTTTACAGCAGGTGACACTGTAGCCATATTGTGGGCGTTATAAAGAAGGCTGCGGTTCTCCAACACTAAATTTGTTGATATAATTTTCGAAACTATTTATTTACAAACACACTTTACACAATAACACCATATACATCTACTAGAGCTGAGAACCACTAATTATGATTTCATAAATAAATAATCTATGATATAATAATGAATCACTCGCGGGAGTAACGAGTCAGTGATTCATTCGCATAGAGTGATTCAATCGCAGAGACTGATTCGTGAGTGATTCGTTTAACATGAACGAACGACACATCACTACCGGTCATAACAGTATTCCATGCGCACGGACAATGCTGTAAAATTAAAGTTAGTTAGCAAGACTACAGTGTCACAGTGCAGAGACATCGAGTTTAAAAAATAAAAGTCCAAATGTATCCACATAAAAAGTAATCCAAAGGCAAGATCATCTTCCATCTATGTAGGTCCTCCATCTTTTCCAATATTGATCACCTTTTTCAGTGCTATACCTCAAGGAAAATGTCAAACTTTCCATGTTGTAAATTTCTTCAACTATTTGTATCCACTCTGAAATTGTCAGAGATTCATTACTCAACCATTCCCTGGTTATTGCCTTTTTGCTACTTGCCAACAATAATTGTAATAGCTATCTATCTATCTATCTATCTATCTATCTATCTATCTATCTATCTATCTATCTATCTATCTATCTATCTATCTATCTATCTATCTATCTATCTTTAATGCTCAGCACCATAGTACAGGTCTAATAATAATAATAATAAATTTTATT